TTTTCCCTTTTTGATTCAAGTGCTATGTTTTGGCCAATGTTCTATCCATACTTGACAACCTTTATTATACACTACAGTTATTTTATTTCATTATATTTTCATTTTGGATGCTATTATCTTTTCATGCATTGATATTTTTTCAAAACTTCATTCGTTTATCATATAAAATAGTCTTCATATGCAGAGATATTTCGGGTCTCAGGAATGATGTCAAACCAAGGATTTGGTGACTTTGACCAGATAAGGCATAAAAGCCCTAGTCCCATGGTCTCTTCAAACCTTATGTCAAATGTTTCTGGGACAGAATTAGGCGGCTAGAATAGTTTTTTTTGAGAGGTAACTATATTTAGAATTTCATTTTTATGTCTTTATTGAGAATATAAATATATATATATATATATGTATATATAGAATTAACATTTTTATTGTTTGTTTCCTTTATATGCAAAATATTTGTGTCGTGCTTGCCTATAAGTTGATAATTTGGGTAACTAAGATTGAGATGTTGTTTATACTTTTAATTTTTTGACATGCACTTTAAGATAATTTCTGGTAAACACCATTATAATTTGAGTGTTTAAAACATTGCAAAGGAGAATCATAATATGTTGAAATCTTATTGTCCTTTGGCATTATAAGGATCTCAAACAAACTATTAAGTTTAAAGTAGTTTCTTTTGCTTTATTAGTATGACCAATAAGCTTTAAAATTAGTTCATACAGTTTTATTTATGCTTTCAAATTATAGACCATTTCAAAAGGGATTATGATTTTAGTTTCCTGCTACTTTCATTCATACTTTATTTGGCACATTATAGGTATAGTTCCTCTATTCAAGAATACATGACAAAATGCTTGCTTAAGTGACCTATTTCAATATCAATTGCTGAATGCATAGTCATATCTGAATGAACATATATGTTATTGTGAATACTACATGATTGTTCTAAAACTGTGACTTTCAATTTTGGATACTAAGTTCATTTCATTGAATAAGAAGAAAGAATATGGCCAAATTGTCACAAAATGAAAGCATTCCTGCCAAATGGTGAATATTTAAATTTCATATTAATCGTCTTTGCCTCTGGTTGTTGACTTGAACACGATTGTTTAATCTCTTATATTTTACTTAATGATAGATCCTCTTAAGTAACATGGATGAGAACCGAGTTTATTTCTTATCCAAAATGCTATAATTGCCAAATCACACTTTTTAATGTGCTTGGAATGCAAAAGACTCTACTAATATAATGGCCTTATTTTGGTTCGTTTCTAGTAGCTAAGATGTATTCAACTTTTGTTCCTTAATTTTTGTTTCTATGCCCATAAATTGGTTAACATTCTAAATCTATTTTGCAACATTTTAGAACTTGTTCGTTAATAAAGCATTGGGAAAGTATTCTTTTGGAAAGTGGATTGAGTTGGAGTGCACAAAGGTTAATTCAAGCTAAAACTTGATTTCACATGCTTGCTTTCTGTTGTCTGGATTGAGCCCTCTGATCTTTTTTATGCTACTGTTGCTTTTTGTATTTTGACAGAGACTAAGTGGACTTCCGGAATGACAATGGACTGGAAAGGTGAACTAGCAAGTCCTAGTTCATACACTGTGAAGAGGATTTTGCGTCTTGAAATTCCCGTTAGTACGTATCCAAATGTGAGCTTTATATGAAAAATGCTAGTGCATTAGATTAAAATTTTATTAATTATACTCAGATTTCAAGAATGAAACAATTTTTTATGAGTATTGATGTTAGACTTTACTTTTCTTTGATGTTGGTTCAGTTTTGTTGGACTATTTCTAGGCTCTACAGGCAATTCATTAAAGCGGGTAGAAGCTACTACTGGCTGCCATGTATACATTAGAGGCAAAGGATCAATAAAAGATCCAGACAAGGTAAAGCTATAAAAGTTAATAGCTACTGTTAATGTTGTGTTGTTTGTAAAGGTTTGGTATCGCTAGTTTCTGCTAGATATCTCAATTGTGATTCAGGTGAAACTGGTAGGAAGATGTGATGAATTTCTGGATTGCTGCACCCAAGACGGCTTTCCCTCCCTCCCTCTCTCCTTTTTTCCCCTTATCCTTTTCTTTTGACATAAATTGAATCATTTTGGATGTTAATTTCCTTCGTTTTGCATCTGAAGGAAGAGAAGCTTAGTGGCAGACTTAGCTATGAGCACCTAAATGATCCACTCCACATCTTAATTAAGGCTGATTTACCTGCTAATATTGTTGATATAATGTTTAGGCAGGCACAAGAAATCATAAAGGAATTACTCAAACCTGTGGCATGTATTGCAATCTTGCTCTTCTTTGCTAAGAAGTTTATTAGCCATAGGATGCTCTCATATATGCTTTACATCTCGAAACTCCATGATTTTTCATGAAATCACCTGCTTTTTAATGTCGAGAATTGATGGTTGAGATATTGAAGAGTAATTACAAATAGAAAAAGCTCACAAAAAAGACAACTAACAAAAATTTGAATAATGATAGAATATGATTATTTGATTAAAGAGATAGAAGTTCACTACCAAGATTAAACATTAAGAGATACAGAAACATCACTTTAAGAATTTTAATTAAAGATATAGAACTATAGAAGTTCACCAATCTAGAAAATCCACTTAAGAAATACAGAACTTGAAAACAATTTATAGTTTGCTTAATGATAAAACAAACTCTATTATGCCTTTTACAAAGAATAACAAAAAATAAATAGACTAGGAACATCTCTCCAAGCATGAGATAGAATTTCAGAGATTTGATTGCTAAATTGATGGAATTACTTTCAATCTTGTCTTATTGAAATGATGACTCAAATAATGAGATTTGCATGTGAATACAATAGTCCGTAGTGTGAACATAATTATCTGCCCATTTACACCTATAAATCACATGATAATATGTAGAATATTTGGTGTCTAAGTTCATCCATGAATCTAATCATAATTCTTATCCATTTTCATGCTTTCCTTTTTTAGTTAGTGTGAACACAAACTTTCTTTTCCAGTCCATCTTATTTCTGCATTTGTTTAGTGGATTTGGACCAAGGATAGACCTATCTTATTTTTGGATAACTCTTTTTTAATCTTAACCCAAGTTGTAAGATGTGTTACACTCTGGTGTCACTTTTGCTTGTGTAAGCTTTTCCTTTGTCAAAGACTTTGGCATCCTCACAGTTGTGCTGCAGGACAAGTTTCCTTCCATTATGTTTTCCTTTTATTAACTTTGCAGGCATCATGGTGTTAAACTGTTAATGTTAATAAATATTTTCATCTTGTATTTGCTGAATTTCATATTCTCATATATAGGATGAGTCACAAGATTTTATCAAAAGGCAGCAGTTGCGTGAGCTGGCAATGCTAAATTTCAATTTCAGAGAGGAGAGTCCTGGTCCAAGCGGAAGTGTTTCTCCTTTTAATTCCAGCGGAATGAAACGTCCCAAAACAGGATGCTGAGAGTTGAACCTTAAATCATCTAAAATTGTTTTCTGCACTGCCCCAGAATTTCTTAGCCAAGTATAACTTCTGATACATATCATTTCAGCATAGCTTGAAAAGGCTAACAGTTATTGCTGGTGAAGTTTTGTGCTGGCCTTTTCATTATTAAATTATTAAAGAAAAAAAAAATGAAAAAAAAAATTATATAGTTGGCCCCCCGAGTTTAGGTTTGGTGAGGTCAGTTTTCCTGTAAACTCAATACATTCATTGGATTTATTCTTCCTGTGTTAGTAGCTATAAGGAGTGTGCAACCTATATATATATATATATATATACATATATATATATATATATTTCGGTGTTGCAAGCATTACGTCGGGTGAGGTCGGATGGAGTTTTGTAGGTGGTGTCATCTTTGTTGTTTCTTTCCTTTGTAGTTTATACGAAGCATAGAAATGTAAGTTGGGTCGATAATTCTTTTTCCTCGTCTACAGTACTCTCTTCAGTCACTCATAATAATTTAGTCAAAATGTTAGCTGAGAGATTATTATGATTTATGGCCCCATGCACTGGAACTTGAACCCTTATTTTAATGGCTTGAATTTTGTATCTTTAAAGCTTCAATGGAAAAAAGTTGTTCGAGATTATTAAGTTGCCATCTGTTGCTTTTCAGCCTCTGCACGAATGTAGCATATTTAAAAATAAGGAATTAAATAAATAACAAAACGAACAAAAGTGAAACTTCTTTTGGATACAGCATTTGTTTTTACTTGGCTTTTGCTAGACTGAGGTGGGTGATTCAGGATTTTTACAATTGACCAAGATGTGCAAGTCCAACTAACATGGCTCACCTCAACTCAAAAAGTTGTCCGGTGGCTATGTGCTGCTCATCTCTCTGGATTGATAGTCTGTGTTATGTTTACGGGTGGGAAGATATGATGGCAGATGAGGCATGTGTGCCAAGCATGGCTATTTTTCGCATTACGATTTAAGTCTTATCTCCCGATATGAGCTGCAGTTAAAAAGGATTATTATTTATTATTAAGAGCTGTCAGCAAATATTTATATTAGTAATTCAATAGGTGCTACTTTAATTAATATAAATACTTCTATCAATTACGAATAGTGCAAAAAGGATGTAAAAAATTTATACTACTTTTATTTTAATAAAATAAAGAATTAAAATCAACATTACTTGAATTATTAGCATCATAAAGATGGCGAAAAAGCCCATAATAATAATAGTGATACATGTAAAAGAAAGGGGATGAGATGGACTTTATCAAATGTATTTTTGGGGAACAGAGAAAGTGGAAGGGAGAGCAAAAGGGTAAATACTTCATCCAACCAGCCGGATTTGAACGCGGGACTAGGGATAACCTACTACACCCTACTCCTTAACTATGTTCGGATCTATTACAACAATATTGGTTAGGTTAAGCATTGGAGAAATGAATAGTTGGATCTCGAAAGGTGCTTTTGGTTGGTGGGCTTAATCTGCAGTCTTGGGTTTTGCCAATGTTTTGGGCGGAAGGGCCTTAGGGTTTTGGTATGGAAGTTCAATTCAACTCCTCCTCTTCTCACTTCCCATAAATTCACCGTTCTTTTCTTCTTTTTCCTACTCTTCACCTAACCATTTCCCTCTCCATCTGCATCTCTTCTGGTACATTTCTCCCGTTTGCGCTTTTTTTTTTTTTTCATCATCTAATAGACTACCTCACGTATTCTGCTTTGCTCTGCTCTTTTCACTTCATTAAAAAGGTTATTTTGTTTTCACCAAATAAAAAAAAGCTGATTCTTTTTTTTTTTTCAAACATAAAAATTAACGATTTTGCCTGAATTAAATCTGCTGTGACTAATGGATCTCTTCATTTGTCTTTGTTTTTATGTAATATATTTAGCTTACAGTTGTATTGATAAATAATAAAATTTTCTAAAAAGAAAGAATCTTTGCAGGTTTAGATTAAATCTGTGTATACTTGAGTTTGAGGAATCAAATCAGCGGATCGATCAGATGGCAGCCATGGCTCGGTATCGTTTCTCAATGCTGACGAGGCAATTCCCCAACACGAGTGAGAGCCGCCGTCTCAAATCACAATCAGCAGATGTTGTTTCATTCTCTCTAAACCAACCAATCCGCTTTCAGCACACCAAGATTTCCATTTCCAAACTTCATATTTCATGCGCTGGAGGAGGCGATGGAAACAACGGGGTTGGTCGCAGCGGTGGAGGTGGAGGAGATGATGATTCCAACTCCAACTCCAACTCCAACTCCAACTCCAAGGATAATTCATGGCAGGGTTTTGGCATTCTGGGTCTTTTCCTAAGCGGATGGAGAGACAGGGTTGCAGCAGATCCCCAGTTCCTATTCAAGGTTTTAATGGAGGAGTTGGTGGGAGTAACTGCCTGTGTTCTTGGTGACATGGCTTCTCGTCCTAATTTTGGTCTTAATGAGCTTGACTTCGTTTTCTCTACTCTTATTGTCGGATCCATTTTGAATTTTACTCTTATGTACCTCTTAGCACCGACAGCCTCAGCTTCCTCTTCAAGTCTCCCTGCTATATTGGCAAATTGTCCACAAAGTCACATGTTTGAACCAGGTGCTTATACATTGGTGAACCGTTTTGGGACTTTCGTCTTCAAAGGGGCTGTGTTTGCTGCTGTGGGATTTGCTGCCGGCCTTGTTGGAACTGCAATCTCAAATGGGTTGATCAAGATGAGGAAGAAAATGGATCCCAGTTTTGAAACACCCAACAAACCTCCACCAACCTTGTTGAATGCCCTCACCTGGGCTACTCACATGGGTTTTAGCAGCAATTTGAGGTACCAAACCTTGAATGGGATTGAGTTTCTGTTGGCCAAGGGAGTTCCCCCCTTGGTATTTAAGTCATCAGTGGTGGTTTTGAGATGCTTAAATAACGTACTTGGAGGAATGTCATTTGTAATATTGGCAAGGATGACAGGGTCACAGAGTGTTGAAGAGAAGCCAGCGATGGTGGAGGTTGGATCTGTTGCGGATAAGGAGAAGTTGGTGGATGGTGACAATTTGGAGGCCGATCAGTCGACTTTTAATTGATTTTCACTCTTTCTTTTTTCTTCCGCATTTTCTCCGCCTCTGTCTATAACTTGGATGTAGTATGTGATCATAATACGTGTAATAAGATCCAAGATGTATCAGAGCTTGATGCCATAGTCCATGCGTTGGTTGAGATCGCCCCAACACACTGTTTTTCAGTTGCATTTCTCAACTTGTTATTTTCAAAATTTCAAAAAAGCTGCTTTACCTCAATGAGATTACGGGTGATCATCTCGTTGATTTTTGTAGAAGTCTTCGAACCACCTCAACTGTGTTGGAATTGGAAATGACAAATAATGCAACAGTGGCGCCTGGTACTGGACAGATTTTTTACTGTCGATACAAACAGCCATCGCATTGCTCATGGAGCGGTCATGAGGTTGTTTGGCTCTAGGGGTGGCCTTGAAAGAGCACAGTTTGATCATTCAACTCTGTTTTCTTCCTTCGATGGTATCGTAGTAAGTCGATTCGAGTAAGATTAACTAACTATTCAAAGTTTTATCTATTAGTAAATCTTTAAAAAAAAAAATCACTGTTTAAAGTAAACTTTTTTATTCACCAAGACGAGATTCTATGAACAATCTGACACGTAATCTGTCTCAATTTAAATATTCTTAAAATCTTATCAAAATTAAGTTCTCATGTGAAATAAAACTCCAAGGGAAGCCCAACGAGGACGATCAAACCCAATCTCCCCTATCCGTTAAAATTGTGTAGAAAGATGAAAACTAATTTACAACAAAAAACCTCATCTTCTCATGTTTAACTCTAAATCCTACTGAGGCCTAACATTAAATCTTTTTCTTTCGAGGTTTTATTCCACAAATCAACCAGTAAACAGAGCCATACTCAAGTATTAGTTAAAGCACCACGGTGCTTGAGCACATTCATCTTATCTGACAGCCTCTGGAGCAGAATTGCAGTAAGGTGTGTGCAAGCAAACTAACTTGATGCATGTTAAACAGAGTGGCAAAACCAACTCCAACTGCAAGCCCACACTGCTTTTCTGCATATCCAACCTTACTGCTCTTTGAACTATTCAAACAAAGCAAGGAAATAATCCTCCACAGGCCAAAACCATCACATGGTCCAGACCACTGTAGTTAATTCCTGTCAAAATTGATCCGATTGCAGATATTGGGCCAACAAAGCCAATAAGATCAGCTGCTGCAAGAGAGCCATGCCAACTGTCAGTAGCTCCAAAGATGCAGCTGGCCACTGCCGCACAACGAGGAAGCCCATGAAGGGAGACAGGAAGGACCATGTGCCTGCCAAGTCCATATGCTTTTGGTGCAGCCACTCCTAGTGCAACCGCCTCAGCCAGTGCATGAAAAGCCACTGCTCCACATGCCAAAAATGACTGAAGCGTGAGAACGCTCACCGGAAATCCAGTTACTGATGGTAGGATATTGGAAGAAGCTCTTTTATTATTACACACAATTTTCAAAATACTAGAGCTTGAAACATGGACAAATGCATTGCCTAAGGTAAGTAGCAACATAAGTGGTAAGAATCCCATCTTTGAACACACGAGTAGTTGTAATGGTCACCAGGCACCAAGGATGAAGCCGATGCCAGATGTAGCACCCATGAGAAGGGCATGCTTAAGGCGGAAAGCAAGAACAAATGCAACAAGAACAAGGCCAACCAACAAAGGTCCAAGACCAAAAAGTAATGAAACAAAGAAGCCAGAAGCATCCTCAGAACTGGAAATTTGAAACAATATAATTTAGTTAATGAGAAGAGACAAAATGAAATCACAACAAAGCAGCAAAGAGTAGGAGCAGTATTGAAAAAGGAAAGCAGATGCCAGATTGTATCAGGGACGGCAACAAGCACACATATCAAGCCTGATACAAGCTACATCAGGCACAATCCGTCTGAATCAACTTACGTGGTCATATCATGCACAGAAAGCTATGACCAGAGTTCTAGGAAATGGAATATATACGGCAATAGAAAAAAGGTATAATAATCGTTACAACAAAATTTGAAATATTTTAACATACAAAAAGTTATAGACTCCAGCAACATGTAGGATAGAGCATAGCAAAGAAACCCAAGTTGTTGCATTTACTCACTTGTAGTCATGACTGAAGTTCTGGAACATAGTGCTTAGTGCTTCCATGAATGCTACTGAAAGTGTAGCTGCTGATGCCGCTCGAGTTGGCCAAGCTTCCCATTGTAAAAAAAAAAGAGGGGAGGGGGGGGGGGGGGGGGGAGGGAAGGGAAGACATAATGTCTCCAGAGCAGAAGAAATCTTAGAAAAATAAAACACGGTCAAACATGATTAATCTCTTTACAATTTGCTGTTCAAATAAAGTTGTTTTAGCCTTTTAGTCTTTGCGCAAGAAAGAAACTGAAGAGGATGGCAATAGTGGTTATCCATTAGCATAGATTGAGAAGTTCTTTAGATTATGAAGCAACCTAGATTTGGAAATTTCCAATGAAGGTGTTCTTCATAGGATGCAAAGCAGAATAGAACAAAAGATATTGAAAGATTTATTGCAGAAGAAAATCTGTATTCTTGAATATTCAAAAATGTATTTTAAATGCAACTAGTGCAGTCCCCTTAAATGCATCAGGGAGAACCTCAGCTACGACCATCCAGATCATACATTCAACAGCAAAACCAGTACAAAAGGGCAGGAATTTATTAAATGCATCAGCACATATAAAAGAAGGAACTACTACACATATCAAGCCTGATACAAGCTACATCAGGCACAATCCGTCTGAATCAACTTACGTGGTTATATCATTCACAGAAAGCTATGACCAAAGTTCTAGAAAATGGAATATATACGCAAACAGACAAAAAGCTATAATATTGTTAAAACAAAATTTGAAATAATTTTTAACATACAAAAGTTATAACTCCAGCAAAATGTAGGATAGAGCATAGCAAAGAAACCCAAACTTGTTGCATGCAGTCATGACTGAGTTCTGGGACATAGTGCTTAGTGCTTCCATGAATGCTACTGAAAGTGTCGCTGCTGATGCCGCTCGAGTTGGCCAAGCTTACTATTGTAAAAAAAAAAAAGAGGAGGGGGGGGGGGAGGGAAGACATAATGTCTCCAGAGCAGAAGAAATCTTAAAAAGATAAAACATGGTCAAACAAGATTAATCTCTTACAATTTACTGTTCAAATAAAGTTGTTAGGCTATGCGCAAGAAAGAAACTGAAGAGGATGGCAATAGTGGTTATCCATTGGCATAGATTGAGAAGTTCTTTAGATTATGAAGCAACCTAGATTTGAAAATTTCCAATGAAGGTGTTCTTCATAGGATGCAAAGCAGAATAGAACAAAAGATATTGAAAGATTTATTGCAGAAGAAAATCTGTATTCTTGAATATTCAAAAATGTATTTTAAATGCAACTAGTGCAGTCCCCTTAAATGCATCAGGGAGAACCTCAGCTACGACCATCCAGATCATACATCCAATGGCGCAACCAGTACAAAAAGAGCAGGGATTTATTAAATGCATCAGCACATATAAAAGAAGGAACTACTACACACATCAAGCCTGATACAAGCTACATCAGGCACAATCCGTCTGAATCAACTTACGTGGTTATATCATTCACAGAAAGCTATGACCAAAGTTCTAGAAAATGGAATATATACGCAAACAGACAAAAAGCTATAATATTGTTAAAACAAAATTTGAAATAATTTTTAACATACAAAAGTTATAACTCCAGCAAAATGTAGGATAGAGCATAGCAAAGGAACCCAAAGTTGTTGCATTTACTCACTTGTAGTCATGACTGAAGTTCTGGAACATAGTGCTTAGTGCTTCCATCAATGCTACTGAAAGTGTCGCTGCTGATGCCGCTCGAGTTGGCGAAGCTTCCTGTTGTAAAAAAAAAAATGATGGGGAGGGAGGGAAGACATAATGCCTCCAAAGCAGAAGAAATCTTAAAAAAATAAAACATGGTCAAACAAGATTAATCTCTTACAATTTGCTGTTCAAATAAAGTTGTTTTAGCTTTTGAGGCTTTGCGCAAGAAAGAAACTGAAGAGGATGGCAATAGTGGTTATCCATTAGCATATATTGAGAAGTTCTTTAGATTATGAAGCAACCTAGATTTGAAAATTTCCAATGAAGGTGCTCTTGATAGGATGCAAAGCAGAATAGAACAAAAGATATTGAAAGATTTATTGCAGAAGAAAATCCGTATTCTTGAATATTCAAAAATGTATGTTAAATGCAATAAGCGCAGTCACCTTAAATGCATCAGGGAGAACCTCAGCTACGACCATCCAGATCATACATCCAATGGCAAAACCAGTACAAAAAGGGCAGGGATTTATTAAATGCATCAGCACATATAAAAGAAGGAACTACTACACATATCAAGCCCAATACAAGCTACATCAGGCACAATCCGTCTGAATCAACTTAGTTGGTTATATCATGCACAGAAAGCTATGACCAGAGTTCTAGAAAATGGAATATATACGCAAACAGATAAAAAGGTATAATATTGTTAAAACAAAATTTGAAATAATTTTTAACATACAAAAGTTATAACTCCAGCAAAATGTAGGACAGAGCATAGCAAAGAAACCCAAAGTTGTTGCATTTACTCACTTGTAGTCATGACTGAAGTTCTGGAACATAGTGCTTAGTGCTTCCATGAATGCTACTGAAAGTGTCGCTGCTGATGCCGCTTGAGTTGGCGAAGCTTCCTGTTGTAAAAAAAAAAAGAGGGGGAGGGGGGGAAGACATAATGCCTCCAGAGCAGAAGAAATCTTAAAAGAATAAAACATGGTCAAACAAGATTGATCTCTTACAATTTGCTGTTCAAATAAAGTTGTTTTAGCTTTTGAGGCTTTGCACAAGAAAGAAACTGAAGAGTATGGCAATAGTGGTTATCCATTAGCATAGATTGAGAAGTTCTTTAGATTATGAAGCAACCTAGATTTGAAAATTTCCAATGAAGGTGTTCTTGATAGGATGCAAAGCAGAATAGAACAAAAGATATTGAAAGATTTATTGCAGAGGAAAATCCGTATTCTTGAATGTTCAAAAATGTATTTTAAGCGCAATAAGCGCAGTCACCTTAAATGCATCAGGGAGAACCTCAGCTACGACCATCCAGATCA